ATTCACAGCCTCACCCACCGACTGGAGTCGTACGAGGTCTTGGTGTCTGTATGTGACGAGAACGTAAGGGAACAGAAATATCCAGAGTGATGTCAACGTAGAGGCCGCCTTGAAGAAATGCTTCATCGATCGGCCAGAAAGCGAGAAAAAAAAAGGCTAGAATATAGATGTTCAGGGCGTGAGACGACACGGAGTCTAACAAAGGTGGTAGTGAAGTGTTAGTAGTTGGATGAGGGCGATGCCTGTGTGAGTGAGTGTGTATGACAGTGGTATGATGGGAGCACGGCCCTATCAGGGTGTGACATTCTGCTCTTCCCCGCGAACGCCACGGTACGAACAGGTTCTCTCGGGTGACACGGCGTCATCCTCCTCCTCCACAACCTTTGTACGGCTGAACTGCTGAGTGTCAGAAAAGTCAACATTATTTCAGAGTCGGAGTAAATGAATGATTGGACGTTGTTAGAACAAACGTCTGACTCACTGCAGGATGTGCTGCTTCACGTTGGGACGATGTGGGAGCAAAGGTCAAAGGTCTAAGTTGACTGTACGTGACATGACAACATGTGTGTTTGAACGGTCAGGTGTCTGTGTGTTTACACCCGGTGTCGTGACGACACAGTTTAATATACAGCAGGTAGAAAAGGAGCATCCGCCCAGGGGTGGGTGAACAGTGGCTCATTACTTTGTACTAGGGATGTGCAGTATTACTGCGTCGGTCAGTCAGTCATGTTGGACTTCAGTATCTTATTTCCCACAAGATTGAGTTCCGTCACAATACGAGTAAAAAAACGGAACGCTAAAGTCAGAACAGCTCAGTGGACAGACGGAGCGTTTACACCTGAAATAGTCACTTGTTTGTTAAGACTTTTTAGTCTCAACCAGTTGAACTTTTTAGTGTTCAACCAGCGTTGTTTTCTTTTGTTTATTGAAACATGGAAATAGCACTGGATAGAAGGAATGAACGTGTCCTGCTGTTATCGAGATTTTCATTATCGGAAGAAAAAAACGATAACGATTCTTATCGAAATTACCTAAGTAAGCTAATATCGGACGATACTATCGGACATCCATAATGAAACGGTATACTTCAAACTGTTGAAGTAGTTTCGGAGTAATGTTAAACCAGAGATTTGACTTCATTACCGTACCATAAACCATCTTTACTGTTAGTCCAACCTGGAACGAAAGTGTTCCCAAAATTCCGTGCTAATTAACCCAACAGTTTCGGAGCCATAAAAGTGATGGATTGACAAAAACAAACAAACACACACACACACACACACTGATGACTGCTGAGTGTGTGAGGGTGATCCAGTCACAGTCAACACTGAGTTTATTCACACACGTAAATACTCCACCTGACAGACAGGGGGCAGGTTGGAGTTATTTTTCTCGTGTAACAAATGTCATAAATATAAAATAAAAAATAAATATTAAATAAAAATAGTATTGACAGATGTATTAAGACATAGTGTAAACAAATAACTGATTTGAGGAAAATGCATCACATGATACAGAGACGGGATCAGAATATGTGGTCTTTTCGCCCTGAGCAGAACAGTATTTACATATTTGAAAAAACAGAACAAAAACAAAGTGTCGTCGTTGACCATAACCTGATTGGATGGTCCGCAAACAGCGACGGGACAAAGACAGTGCTTGGTCAAAAACTGGACAGTCTGGTCAGGATTTCAGTCATTCAGTATAAAACACAGCTCTTATCGTTTCTGCTCAAATATGAAACATTTGACTTAAAAATAATGTTTTCCTCTTTTCACCTTATAAAGTACATTAGTGTATTTTTTTTTTTTTAATCTCAGTCTTGTTCTGAGCGATTCGGAGGGTCCTCTTCAGTCGGGCCGCCCTGGTCCGCTGCCAAATCGAAGCAGCGGTTTGGCTTACGTCCCCCCGCCCCCCACTTTAGTCTTTCATCTCCATGAGTAAAACGCCACGGTCCGTCAGTGCACTCTGATTTGGAGGAATGTTGAAATCACACCGCAAACACGCTGAGTGAGCTGGCCTCGTCTTTCAGGCCCAGGATGCTGTAAGCGATCCTCTTCATGTGACCTGGGAGACGCACGCCGATGTTTCTGATGTCTCTGCAGAGACGAGACAAGACGAGACAAACGGGTTCAGTTAGAAGTCAACGTCAACAGATCACACCAGCAAAAAATCAAGCTTCTTT